CCACCCGTGGACTCGCGATCCCGTGAGAATGCCCCAGGGCGCACGTGCTGAGAAGTCTGCCTGTGTGGTGTTTATTGGATTGTACATGTCGAAAGGTCGAATTACCTTCAAATGAACAACTATGCAAATTGTGTCCATGTCCGTTGTTCTGACCAAAAGTGGCCCAACTAGTTAGGCGCAGGAAAATCACTCTTTCACTTGTTCATAGAAAATGGCTTCATCGATCGGTCCAACCAAACGATTCGATCGGATCGGATACTGTATATATGTGATATATACTCTGATTCTCATCCTCTGAAGTCTTGCGGTCTCTTCCATGTGATTCTCCACCGAAGGTTTTGGAATATAGTCTTGAGTCTTGAGGATACTGGTGTTACTAGTCAGCAACTCCATTCTCGGATGGATGAAAATCGGTATTGAAGCAAAAAGCAGAACCACCCTCGGCATGACCTAGTGCTGGAAGAGAGGCGTTCCAGTATTTCTTGTCCTGCCGGTTCTTTTCCATCAAGTCCTGACCACTTGCCATTTCGTGTCAACGAAGTGAATCCTTGATTGTTGGAGATCACAAGAACTCATCTTGGCATTGAAAGGATGTAAAAGGTGTGTATATATATATATATGATTAAGAGTTATTCACTAATGATATTCACCGTGATGCAGGAACATCTTCCCGAGGATTCGCAGATTCGCCACCCAAGAAAATGGTTCTCAGATGAGTACAAAGGCGAGGTTCCCTCCCTCGGAAAATTGTGGAAGTGGAAGGTAGGCCCTCGATGATGATGTGTCCAAAGGAGTGCTGCAAAAGGCTTCCATGATTTATTGTTGGAAATGTGGTGTTTGCTTGGACTGCAATACTTGACACACCGTTTGGAGCAAAGTTTGGGAGGCTTTGAGCTGTAAGCAAATGAACGACAGCCGAGTGCCCTCCCTCTTAGCACCCTAGTGCCCTCCCTCACCGGTGGCCGGAACAAACCCCAGGCTCCACCCGCCAGCGGCGCTATAGCCACCCGCACCGGTCCAGATAGACATCATAGAAGCTCATCCGGCAGTGGTGACCTCGGGCGTTGCCAGGTCACGGCAGGTTTTGGGTCAAAAGGTGCCGCGGCTCCCCTTAGAAGACAACGTTCCGCGGTACAAACAAGGAGTCTTCCACGGAGGGTAACCCTGCAGCTGCATGCAGCCGACATGGGGCACCAACGATTTGGGACTTAAGCACTAAGCACCAAGTTGCTCTCGAGCAACAACGAACACAGTCTCATGCATGTGTTAACTGTGTTTATGTTGGTCCCGCACTGAAACACGCAATGCGCATGGAACACGCACTTCCCACGCCAAAGGAAAAGTGCATATGGAATATAGTGACCTCAAAAAGATTCAAAAAGTATCTCAAGGGTGGGGCAACATGAGATATCTCTACAACGGGATTTCAGGTTTTCCTGATGTATTGAAGATGGAACCTATCGTTGGAAACGGCATGACATGTTCAGGGGCATATTGAAACAAAAAGCACACGCAAGTAAGCGACTGAATCGGTATGATGTTGCGCGACCCATGTTGTTGCAAAATTTGCCAATAATGCCAGATCACAGCAAGAAAATGTACTTTCTTGATTAAAGTGTACTCATTCGTGCAGGGGTTTCTGGATGTTCACCCACCGCAAACCACTTCAGCTCCGGACCACGCAGCGTCCTCTGTTGGAGAATTTGCCTGCATCGGCTTCCGGTGCAAGCCATCATTGAAGATGGCCCCAGTACATCCACCGCGTTTACGCCTGTCAAGCCCAAAGCCGTGCGGCGTCTATGACTCCTTCTTTCGTTCTTTCGCAAAGGATCCACAAACGCCCAAGTCTTTGCGCAAAGGAGACGTCTTCACCCATCGTTTCCAGCTGCGATCCTTTTTCACCACCTCCGCCTTCAACACAACGATGCTCCAAATTGGGATCTTCGGGCTCCAAACTTCGCCCCAGTCCCGAGGGTCCCCCAAAAGGGCCTCGCGACCGATCAGGGCCTCGCGATCGTGACCCCTTTTCTTGCCCGTTTTCCAAGGGTCTCCCCCAAAAGGGGTCTCAAAAAGAGCGGCCCCTCGCAGTCGTGTAGAGGACTGGGCCCCTTCACTCCACCTACAGGGCCCCCGCACCGCTGCTCCAGCTCGCTCATGTAGATGTGAGGAGCCATGGTCGATGAACGCCTGGCATGTCGTGGTTTTTCGACGTGAGGCGTTGTTAGGACCCGGTTGCGGGCCCGGCATCAAAGGTGACAGTGTCACTGAGACGACTGAAACAACGGCTAGAACTTGAAGAACTTGCATGTTTTCCTGTCCCTTCCATCTCAGAAACTTTTCGAAGTTGAGCGCCCTAGGAAACCCCACAGCTCGTAGGAGCAAGGCCATTCCCCATCCCCAAACAGGACAGACCAAGAAGTGATAGTAAAATTGGAGTGATCTTTTAAAGAATTGCCAGGAGAATGCCTTGGAGATGTTTTTAAGAAGTGAGTTGCCTTGGAGAAATGGTTCTCTAGTTCTGTCTATTTGTGACCCTTTTAAAACGACAGGGTCTCAAGATGTGGACAACGGTCTCACAGGTCCCACGCCATCCACCGTGGCCGCCGACGTATCCCGCAGCATCCCACCGCCTCTGGGAAGATGGCGGCGCTCAAACGTTCGTGGGCGTGGCCGCCGTGGCCGCCGTGGCCGCCGTGGCCGCCGTGGCCGCCGTGGCCGTCCGCCGCGGCGGACGGTTCGTTGGGGGTGTGACTTACTGCGTCCTGTGCATATACATCCAGAGCTGCAAACGATGTGAGGATGTTTTGCAAACGATGCATGAGTCTTCTCCAACTTTGCATTGGAGACTGTTTGACTGCTTGGCTCGGCTTGTCCCATCTGAGGTCAAGGGTGGCCTGGAAGGGGCCTGGGACCTGATGAACATGGATTCTTTTGCATATTCTTCTAATTAAAGTCTATTTATTAATAGCTTCTTGTTACTACTAGTAAGGCACTTGTTACTAGTAGCGATGCCCTTTGCTCCTAGTAGCGTCCTTGCTCCTTATTCTTCTGACATTCCAAGACTTGGAGTCTCTCCCAGGCTGCTCCTTGGTCCTTCGACCCCAGTTCGTCTAGACGGCCCTAGCTACTCCGCGCGCTTGCGCCCAGCCAGCCCGCTCCATTCACTGGCAGATTCGCCAACGGAGCCTTAGACAAAAGCATTCTGACATCTCCGGGAAAGCACACAACCAATCCTCCAGCGATCGTGGAAGTCGAAAATCCCAGGGCCATTGTCCGCTGCAATGTTTGTTGGATAGATCAAACAAATTGTAGTTTGAGTGAATGGTTCTCAGGTTCAGATGATCGTCGATTCAAAAAATGTGTTATTGATTTCTTTGGCTGGGGACCGGGGAGATTGATTATATGTTGAAGGGACAAAACACAAAAAGAAAACCTTTTGGACTCGTGGAGAAGTTCGGAAACAGAGCAGTGGCGTTCGCCAAGCCGTTGGAGGGTCATATCTTCGGCCACGCCTGCCACACTTCAGGACGAACGGAACACACATGCTAGAGCTGAAGGAAAATGGAATGTGCTTGAGTTCCTCTCAATGGCACCCTCCAGAAAAAATAATAAACAAAAAAAAGTATCCAACCCCTTCAAACTGTCGGACCCTCCAAGATTGTCATAATCTGCCAAGTCGAGGTAGAAACCTCGGCATTGCATGTCCCGGGCCCGTTCTCAGCTTCCAACTGCTTGGGCTGCGCGTCCCCGGCGAGAAAAATGCCGACGCCTCGCGCCCTGAACGCATCGCTAAATTCAGCCCAAAAGAAAATGTGGCGGCCGGCGATGAGCAGACCTTTCGCAAAATTGGCACATGAGTTGTCTAATTCAGTTGTAAATAGATTGTGCACTATGTCTTCTAAAAAGGCGTATATATGTTGTTAAGAGTGATATATAGTTGTTGTTAGGTTTTAAAGTGATATATAGTTGTTCTTTGTTTTCAAAGTATATAACGATGATCTTTCTGGAGTCTGGAGCATCACGTGCAGGTCCCTCTTGTTGGTTGATATTGTTTTCTGGTCGGAATCCATGTCTCAATGCATGAACATCAACCTATCAACCTACCATGACGTTTTGTGTGGTCAAAGCCATTCACACTTGGGCGTCAACCAACGAACCTCACAAGAACCTCACCCAAAATCCAAACGACCGACTTGTGGAATTTAAGTTAAAACAAGTAGATATGATAAGAGTAAGGGATGCCAACCGACTCCAGCTTTGACCCTTCGCCGAAGGGGCCTCATGGTACCTCCTATGAATAAGTAGCATGAAAAGCCATAGGGGGTGGTCGGAAGAGCCACACTTCTTTGGGGATTCATGATCACGGCCTTCCTTCCCAGAGAAACATGGGCATCTCCGAAAACGAAGGCAGGTCGCTTTAATCTTGAGGCGAAAGTCTCTGCACCTACCTCCAACTGCCCCCCTACATCCAGGCCGTCCCCCTCTTTTTCCGCCGCGCCGCGGCGGCGCGCCCCGCGTCGCCTCTTGGAGGCCCCGCGTGGTGGACGCGCGAGCGCGCCCGGTCCGCCCGCCATTGGGCGGGATGGCCGGAGGAGGGGGGCGGGAGCGCCCCCGGAGCCCGGGAGCCGCCGGTGCCCCCCCAAAAAAACGAGCCGCCCAAAAGCATGGCGCAGAGACACGGTCGGTGGAGGGTTCAGACAGTGTCAGAATCCGGTAAAGGTTCGCTTCAGAGGGGCTTCAAGACACAGGCAGTCAGGGCAACCAGTGGATACGTGGACAATCACCATACATCTAATGATTTGTCTTCCACCGTGGCGCCTAACAGGGTGGTTGTGGTGCTTTCAGCACCTCCACCTAAGCATCCTAAGCATTCCAGCATTTGCAAGAGTTGGAAGGTCGGGTTGATGACGGTGCTGCAGTCTGTTGTGTAGGCTTGAAAACGCATGGGGAGGGTTGCTCAAGCAAGGGCAATGCTTTTTCAGGATCTGGAAGGATTGGTTCCATGTAGCTCCAGTAGTGCCACTGGTCAGTCAATTCTCGCATCTTGAGCGATTGCGCACTCCGCGCGTGCAGCGTCAAAAAACGGGCTCGTGCCTCATAAATAATCCCCGTGCAGTTGCTCAGAGAAGAGGCCATGGGACTCCACGATGAGTCGCGGCAGAACCGGCTCCTGCGCAGTGCGGAGATTCTGCGCTGAGCGATGCCCAGGAAAAAAGCCGACTAGTGGGAAATGCCAGAAGAACAAGCAGGCTTCTCATGTTTCTTGGAAAGCCAAAAGTCTCCAAGAATCCAAAAAAGAAACAAGTTGCTCCCATGAACGTGCTGGATTGCGCCTTTCAACTTTCGCGGCTTCTATGCCACATCATGGCTCACATCTTTTCTATCATACTGCCTCAGCTTCTGTTCTTCCCAAATATCTCTTGCACGCATACGTCAACAACCCTCAGAAGCGGCTTCCACTCCCAGCTTGATGCACGGAAAGCTCAATCCGACCCTCACCCGACTCCTCCAGCAAGAGGTGAACCTGCCCAGGGATTCAGTAAACACACCGTGTCTGCGATGAGTGAGGACAAAAAACACCAACACCTCGCTGTGTTCAGAAACGCTGAGGCTCTAAATTCCTCTACCAGCTGCTTTTCATTGACTTTCTTCAAGCTATCTACATATCAACCCTTGAATGAACGTCTTCTGTATGAAGCCCAACCGCTTCAAGCTAGAGAAGAGAAGAGCCCAACAATGTACGATCGGTGGAGTCGAGTCTTCGTAACCTGGCCATTGTCTGATCCCAACTAGAACAAGAAAGTAAACCCCGTCCAAACTAAAATCTATCTACTGTATCTGAACTCCTCATGGAACTATTTAGGGGGGGAGCTCTTTCTTTTACACACACCATTCCAAGAGGATCTCCCCGTGCAATCTCCCACCTTGGCCCTCAAGGATGCCAACTCCTTCCGGGCATTCACCATGCCGGCCTTGTGTGGCGGAAGTTCTCGGAGCAAAGCCAGGCCATTGGCCGAAGAGCTGTGTCCATTGGCCGAATTATATGGGTACAGGGCTGCAGACACTCGGATGGCCGAATGGTCTTGGGGTGAGAAGGAAGAAGGATGAACAGCAAAAAGAAACACCACCTTTTCGGCTGCGAGTGACTTCCGTCTTCCTGGAAAACCTCTGAGTTGGACAGGGAGAAAGATTGCGAAAGCATTGAGGTGGAAGGGGTTCCCTTTGTCCTTCCGCCCGTCTTCCCCCTACACCCCACCAAGGAAGCTCAACTCTCTTCCCTCCACATCCCTCAGTGGGCCACTTTTGGGTTTTCAGGGTTTGGGGAGCTCGAAACGGGACCACGACTCATCCGTTTTCTGGGCCCCGGTGCTAGCTGCTTTCGAATGTTCAGGCATCGCTGGTTGATGGCAAGCCCCTGCAAGAAACCCCCGGCACAGCACGGGTCAAATCGCCCGCCGCCACTGCGAGGCGCAAAACGCACGCTTCCCCCAAAAAAAGGGATCCTGGGAGGCCTCCGGGAGGGTGGTTTTACCGAGAATGCGCGCTTCTTGGTAGGAAGCTACTAGTAACAAAGGGCATCGCTACTAGTAGCTTCTAGCTGCTAGTAGTAATGCCCTTGTTCCTAGTAGCGATGCCCTTGTTACTATTTTGAAAAATTATATCAAACTTTCAGCTTTCAGAGGAGAGGTCACACCCAGCGAGCAGGCGTGACCTCACGAGGGCAGGAGTCGCCCACGAACCAATTCCTAGTACTTTGCAGCCAAACATCACGATCATTGAACCGAAACCAAAGAGGAAACTGTAGAGGTACTTATATATATATATATATACTGGGACAATGAGTCTTCGCCGCCTCATTCGGCCTCTCAACTGACGTGCCTTTGGGTGTTAGCGTTTTCGACTCAGGGCAGCAGCACACCACCGGCGCCGCACCTCCTTGGAGTCATCATTGGCCAAATCCTCTAAGCGCTGCTTGATGTTGAAGGCGATATGACTCCTGGAGAAAAAACACCAGTCATATCAGCAGGACCCGAAGAGGAGAGATGACTTTTGTGACTGAATCTTTTCTGCATCCAAACGAAACAGTGTCGGGTCTGCTTATTGACGGTGAGCATTGGCTTCCATAAGACATTACGTTATCCGCCTGCAAGTTTGCATGGATGTTGCCGGAAACCAATTCCCGCCATATGCGTGTTCATCCTTTTTGCTTCCCCAATTGAAATTTGCAGACTTCGGATGCCCGCTGTTCCAAAAACTCCAGCACTCCGCCACAGTTTGGTCTGTGCGCATGGATGAACTGTGGATCATAAGCTAATGTGTTCTGTCTGTGAACAAGAAGTAAACTTCCCTACCTGGATTGCAAAAACACATCCGTGTGTTTTCGTAAAATCAACCGTCAAGGAGTCGAGATACATGCGATCTCTCACACTGCCAACTGGATAGATGTGTGTTCAGTGGGACCCAACAATCATGACTATCATGACTCATGGGTAAGAAAATGAAAAGTGATTGGGTGCCATTTATGGGGGGGTAGAGGACGCTACTAGGAGCAAAGGGCATCGCTACTAGGAGCAAGGACGCTACTAGGGGCTCCTGGCCGTACTACTAGGAACAAGAAGCTACTAGTAACAAGAAATAAACAGAATTAGAAGTAAGTCCCAGGTGGAACCAACTGTCCAACTCTCCACGTCGCTCCTGAAGGGGTCCGGCGGCTGCGACTTGGATTTCACCTCAAAGAAGGTGGGCGGATCTGGTCGGGTGGTTTTTCCATGTTTTTCCCCTTATGTGGGCCGTGCCCTACATGGCACGAATTGATGGATGATGGTGCCAAATAGTTTAATATAACAGCATATACAGTGTGTATGTATATATATATATGTATATTGTCTTGCTTCATATTTAAGGCACCAAGGCCAGCGCCACTCGAACCAGTCGCTCACGTTCGTCCAGGGCATCTTGCTCCATGAGCATCTCCTCAAACTCGTGGTTCGCAAGCCGTGGCTGTCAAGAGCCCCAAGCTAAGTTCAGGTGAGCCTTGGAGTTCGGAACGTGAATTTGGAATTACCATGAAATACCTGATGTTCCACAATGAATTTGCAATGTGAAGTTCATGTCTTTGGACTCCCCGTCTCAACCCCTCTTCTCCGCCAGCCCGGCTGACCCGCTCGGCGGTGCCTCGCCCTGCTCCAGGGGCGTCTTCCGACTCTTGGGGCCTCGGTTGTAGTGGCCGATGCATACAATTGAATATACCCATCATCAATTCTTCAATAGAGCAGGGTTCAAGAAGGGTCCAAGCTGTTGATGTTTCATCAATGCCCATAGTAAGCAACCGATGTTTTTATAGGTCCAATTCCTCGTCATAGACCCATCATAACCTCATCTACTAATACAAAGAATAATACTCGATCATACAACCCCCTTCCACCAATGGAGACCAGACATGTCTGGGAACCCTTCCACCCTCTTGGATTTGAGGGTTCATGTGCAAGGCTCCGATGTGCCATGCTTCCAACGTCAAGAGACAATGGCCCAACACAAGGCACATGGCCCATGCTGGGAGCCCCAACTCCACTTGGCTGCGGAAGATTGAGAGTCCTGATACACGGCGAAGTCAAAGTTGCCGTGCGGTCCAGTCGTCGACCAGTCGGCGCTCCAGCGGCGAGGTGGAATTGATCCGATTGTTCAGCCAAGCCCAGGGAAGCCAAAGCCACTCCTTTCGTTCGCTGAAAATGGGATGGACGGACATGCTCACCCAGGAACAACGACACGGGCCATGGAGGGTGTCTGACCCGGGCATCGACTCCTGTCGCAAAGTCGGGTGAATTCTCGCTTAGAGTCTCGGGCACGACTGGCACAGGACCCACGAACTGCAATATATAGATTGAATGGACACATAGTGTGATCTTGATTCAGGCCTTTCTGCACAACTACTACCTTCTGGAAAATACCGTAGTTTATGATGATGTCTACAAAAATGAGGACAAGACCCACCAAGAAACTAGGTGGAGAACCTTTTCTGATTCTTTTACGGCCCAGGTGCGCCGTCCTCAAGAGTGTCCAGCATCCGTTGCCCAGCGCGTTGAAGGGAGAGCATCTGCAGGTGAGCTGAAGTGGACAGGATCCGCCAATCCCTACCAAAGAAAAGGATCCACCAGATCGCCCGCGAGAATAGACTCTCGACCAAATCACCAGATCACCGAAGAGGAGGGCAAACTCTGCTAGAGTTATGTGACTGGAACCCGGTTCTTCTCATTCCAATGATGTGCTACGCTGGAGTGGTTCTCCACAGAAACTCCACAACGAAAGTTGGTCGGGTTTCTGCAGCACGTCAAGGGCACGTCTTCCTGCTGTTTCCATCGCTACTCCGTCAATCCGGACTGAAAAAAGACCTCTCTTTTTCAATT